AGCTGGGTGGACATCAGTACTTCCAGCTCTTCTCAGCTGGTCTTGACCAGAGCTGGGTGGACATCAGTACTTCCAGCCCTTCTCAGCTGGTCTTTACCAGAGCTGGATGGACATCAGTACTTCCAGTCTTCTCAGCTGGTCCTGATCAGAGCTGGATGGACATCAGTACTTCCAGCCCTTCTCAGCTGGTCTTTACCAGATCTGGATGGACATTAGTACTTCCAATCTTCTCAGCTGGTCTTGACCAGAGCTGGATGGACATCAGTACTTCCAGCCCTTCTCAGCTGGTCTTGACCAGAGCTGGATGGACATCAGTACTTCCAGCCCTTCTCAGCTGGTCTTTACCAGAGCTGGGTGGACATCAGTACTTCCAGTCTTCTCAGCTGGTCCTGACCAGAGCTGGATGGACACCAGTACTTCCAGTCTTCTCAGCTGGTCCTGACCAGTACTTCCAGCCCTTCTCAGCTGGTCTTGACCAGAGCTGGATGGACATCAGTACTTCCAGCCCTTCTCAGCTGGTCTTTACCAGAGCTGGGTGGACATTAGTACTTCCAGCCCTTCTCAGCTGGTCTTTACCAGAGCTGGGTGGACATCAGTACTTTCAGCCCTTCTCAGCTGGTCTTGACCAGAGCTGGATGGACATCAGTACTTCCAGTCCTTCTAAGCTGGTCTTGACTAGAGCTGGATGGACATCAGTACTTCCAGCCCTTCTCAGCTGGTCTTTACCAGAGTTGGGTGACAGCCCGGGAGCCCTGTAGAGACCTCCTCATGTGGTTTCAGACTTGGTAGGAGCTATTACACCTGAGCAACCATCAGTTCTTCCTTCCATTACACCAAGATTGATCATCAGGAGAATAAATCATGCCTTTAGATTCAGCTATAAATTTTAAGTTTTCTCTTTTGCAATGTGAAAGTATATGAAACCAAATATTGCAAAATGTGAAAAATAATCTCGAGTTAATACACATTATTATTGTTTATCCGTTTGTTTTGAATTTTGTGCAAAGCTACACGATGGCTATCTGCGCTAGCCATCCCTAATTGAGCAGTGTAAGATTAGAGGGAAGGCAGCTAGTCATCACCACCCACCGCCAACTCTTGGGCTACTTTTTTACCAAGAAATAGTGGGATTGACCGTCACATTATAACGCCCCCCACGGCTGAAAGGGCAAGCATGTTTGGTGTGACGGGGATTTGAACCCGTGACCCTCAGATTGCGAGGCGAGCGCCCTAACCACCTGGCCATGTCGGGCCTACGTGATTATTGTTAAGTATGTACGAGTTTGTTATTATTTTTATAATATGAATATGTATTTACGTAATATTAAAATATTTTATAAAACAGATACTAATGGTTTAAAAAGGATGTTTGATAAAACAGATACTACTGGTTTATAAAAGATGGTTGATAAAACAGATACTACTGGTTTAAAAAAGTGGTTGATAAAACAGATACTACTGGTTTAAAAATGATGGTTGATAAAACAGATACTACTGGTTTAAAAAAGATGTTTAATAAAACAGATACTACTGGTTTAAAAAGGATGTTTGATAAAACAGATACTACTGGTTTAAAAAAGATGGTTGATTAGACAGATACTAATGGTTTAAAAAGGATGTTTGATAAAACAGATACTACTGGTTTAAAAAGGATGTTTGATAAAACAGATACTACTGGTTTATAAAAGATATTTGATAAAACAGAGGTTCCTAGTTTGAAAAAGATAAATCACCAATGTACAATGAGTATATATCATCAGTTCTGACAGTACTCCTCTGTGGGTTATCAACTGAGTTTTGAGTTCTGACAGTACACCTCTGTGGGTT